TAATGAGTTTGGAACATGATTCAATGAGTAAGAGCTAACTATTTGCGGAACTGGAGAACCGTAGCGACCGGAATCGGTCGCTTCGCCATGGAACGAACGTGGTGGTGGTGATGGAAAGGCGGGTGATACTATGAAAGCAGGAAGGGCGCGAGATAATGAGGAGGCGTTCATGTGAGCGCGTTGGAGCCTTGCAATCTGCATGCTGGAAGTCAATTCGCAAACATTGCTTTGCATCTTAAGGTGCTGCTGTTGCTGCAATTGCCGCTGCTGTTGTTGTTGCTGCTCTTGTTGCTGCTGTTGTTGTTGCTGCTGCTGTTGTTGCTGCTGTTGTTGTTGCTGTGTATGTAAGTAAATGGTGTTATTCGAAGAATAATGTGGATTAGGTCTAATAGTCTGTTGCGGCCAAGAAGCAGCTTCTGATGCCTGAAAATTAGCCGGTGTTAATGGTCCGGATTGTGTCCAGGGCTGTACCAACTGACCAGAGACGATTTGGGAAGGACTGGTCGGTCTAGCAGTAACAGGAGACTCAAGAATGAGAGAGTCCCCATGTTGAGGTACTCCAGACTGGCGGAAGGGTGAATTGACGACTTTTGTAGTTGTACAGAGATTCGCCGAATGGCCAGAACTTGAAAAAGAAGTCATTGAAGAAGTAGGTCCTATCACCAGTCTAGAAATGGAAGGACTAAGGGGAATTGAAACTTGAGGAGGTGTGTATGTAGTTTCTGAAAATCGAGAGGGCGAGGAACCGGGCAAATCCTGGGTCTTTCTAAGGCGTTGATTTAGCTGCTGCTGATGTGAACGATTCTTGGCCTGTAGTTGAGCTAACGCATCGGTCATAGAAGATCCTGAATGAGCAGGCTCAACCAACTCTTGGGACACATGCAAAGTGTAGGCAACACGCTCATCCAACTTCTCGCAGCTCCAATAGATGCGTCGCGCTCTAAGTTGACAGAATAAATGCATGCAGATATAGACGCCACATATTCACTAAAATAAATTAACTATAGAAATGTTAACCATGGAATTCTATTTACAAAAGATTTGTGCACAGATAAATTAAATGCGCCTATAAAACATAAAAAGGACTCTATTAGTATTCGTTAGTGTCTAGTATAGTTAGAAAAGTAGTGAGCCACAAATTACAAATGATCCTAAACGTTTCATCTATTTGTATACAATAACCTGACAATACGAGAAATTTAGTAATGATCAAGTAAATCATACCAATTTTCATTAATGGCGTATGCCCTCGATTTCAAGCAAACCGCCCAACATAAGATTGACTACAACGAACTATACTAGATTAGGAGTGAAAAAGCGAGCTCTAGTTAAGTAGAATGCAGATTGTTAATAGGAGTAAAAGTAATCTCGCAGCGGAGTAACTAGTGAAGAGTTCGTCTGTAATTATTACGCTAAACTAAAATCAATTTAACCCAAAATTCGTAGGAAAAGAAAACTTTAAGGAAAATAATCTAGTTAAGTTGTTTGACCTTGGTTTCGCAACTTGGTCAGGAAGACCTAGCAGGAAGACCTAGAGGAACACACCTTGTCCGGAGTTCATAGTATGCATGATCATTTCCAGAGTCGGACCGTGGACTTAGTACATTCAAAGAAATTTCGCCGGCATCATCAGTGAGTCTTGTCCTTCTCAGTAAACCAAGATATAACTTGTCAAAGAGACAAGTGAAGTCAATCTCTTAACCAACTTTCAGCCGAGACCATTTTGTTATCAATTCTCGTTCTGTCCTCATTCCTCTATCCATTTCCTACCCTCTAGTCTCGCCCTTGTCCTATCACAACTTTTGACAAGTTTCTATTTGACAAGAGATGTGCCCTTTCGGCGAATTTACCGTGGCGTCATAACATCTGCTGTTTGCCTCACTACCTTCCCTTTCGAGTGGCTGATCCTGCCCTAGTCTCCTGTCCAGATCTGACTCATGGCCCGTGGATCCGTTTCTTATCTTTCTGGTTGACCGATTTCACTCAGTTCTAGTCCAAACGTACTTTTACTCCAAGTGCATTTCTCAAGCCTTCAGTAGCACGCACAAAGTCGCCTCATTTACAGAGCGCCGATAGGAGCACCTCTCTCAACTCTGTTGGTAAACGTATATATTGACAAATTAGAAGAGAATTTCAAGGCACCACCGCTGCAACCTAAAGTTCTTATGCGGTACCTGAATGACTACTTTGCAATATGGTCACATGGAAGAGAAAATTTGGAGGATTTCCTAAAGTTTATGAACGGGATTGATGAAAAAATCAAATTCACAATCGATGTAGAGGAAGAGGGGTGTTTGGCTTTCATAGATGTGGAGGTTATTCGATCTACTTGGACACTCAAGAGGAAATTGTTTTGAAAGAAGTCATATGCCGGAACAATACTCAATTCAGAATCTCATCACAATTATAGAATGAAGATAGGCATACTGAACATGATTATCAGAAGCCTACAATTAAGGGACGTCGAATTCTGCGATGAAGAATTGGGGAAATTGACTCAAATATTCCTCGGTAATGAATATCCGAGAGAAGTAATTCAAAGAAACTTACTAACCATAAAGAGCCGATAGCAGGACGGAGATTATGAAAGAAATATAAAGATGGAGAAAGACTCAGAGAAATGGATATGCCTCCCTTCATGTGAACTAGCTCAAAAACTACGACCAATACTATGAAATATTCAGGTGACCACGAAGGAAAAAGCAACATTCTTCACAAGTCTACCAACGCAGCATAAGAGGGTGGATAAATTGGATTGCTCAGGGATTTACTGCATAAGATTCGGCGTCTTCGAACAGAAATACAATGGCGAAACTGGAAGGAAAATCGACATACGAATCAAGGAGCATCAGAGGCTCTGCAAAAAAATAGATACTGAAAGATCAGATATAGCGGAGCATACTGCAGAAACTGGACACGACATCAATTGGAAGGGCCCCTAGAGTGAAAGCACAAAGAAACGGAAGATTAGGGATGCCATTGACATGCTTGGGAAAAAAAATTTAATGAACAAGATATTGGAAGAAGGCAGAGCCAGTGACAACTTTGTCTATTGCCTAATCAAACTCGGATAAAACAGGGATGCAACAAGACAAGCAAAAAGAAGACGCCTGGATCAAGGATCTATAGTAAACGAGGGAAAGAGGGGTCGCAAAAAAGAGGAGAATGAGGTTTCGAAAATGACGCGAAGACGTTTCAGTGAGAGTAGTCGGCTCGAATAAACAACTAAAACTTGGGAGCCCGACGTTTCACGTGACTAGGAGGGCGGATCGGGTCACAGAAATCTGGAATTGTGACCAAATGAGTAACTAATCCCCGTGAGATGCAGCAGGCTACCTGAGAGTTATGTCGACAATTTACTCAGGGTACATGGGCTTAATGGAAGAGAGGATGTGTGAAGGCAATGCCTAACATCCGCAAGCATGGGAATCGGAGCCTAGGCGCTCTGAAGATGAGGCGAATTTGTACAAGCTACTGAAGGCTTGTGAAATAGCACTTGGAGTAAAAGTACGTTTGAATTGGGACCGAGTGAAATCGATCAACCAAAAAGATAAGAAACGGATTCACGGGCCATGAGGCAGATCCGGACAAGAGACTAGGGCAGGATCAGCCACTCGAAAAGGAGGGGAGCGAGACAAACAGCAGATGTCATGATGCCACGATAAATTCGCCGATAGGGCACATCTCTTGTCGAATAGAAACATGTCAGAAGTTGTGATAGGACGAGGGCGAGACTAGAGGGTAGGAAATGAATATAGGGACGAGGACAGAACAGGATTGATAGCAAAATGGTCTCGACAGAAAGTTGGTTAAGGGATTGACTTCACTTGTCTCTTTGACGAGTTGTATCTTGGTTTGCTGAGAAGGACAAGACTCACTGATGATGCCGGCGAAATGTCTGTGAATGTACTAAGTCCACGGTTCGACTCTGGAAATGATCATGCATACTATGGACTCCGGACAAGGCGTGTTCCTCTAGGTCTTACTGCTAGTATGACCAAGTTGCGAAACCAAGGTCAGACAACTTCTATACAACGAAAGGAGACCGCGAACATACAAAAGGCCACAT